AACTTAGAATAGGAAAATAAGCAGTCCAGTCATTTCAGCATTGAGCTTTTCATTCTTGGCTGCCCTCTCCTTGCTACCTATGTTCTTCTATTCATGGGATAAAATCATACGGGTCTAGACCCCCGCAAAGTGTACCAAGGAGGGAGAGGGGAGACAAATGCATGTACAAAATGGTGAGCTGCATAAATATGTATGTTGTAGGGAACAGTGTTGTACCAGTGTTGATTTCCTGATTTTGACACTGTTCTACTCATACATAAAGTCCATCATTAGAGGAGGTGAAAGGTACAAGGTTTTCCATGTATTACATTTTTTTCATGTTCCCATGAATCTGTTAATTATTTCCAAATAGAAGGGAAAGAAACATCTACAAAATGAGGGCATCAGTCTGATGACAGAGGGCCTGGATCAAGAATCAGAAACACATAAAACCTTGGGCAAGTCGTGGAGTCTTAGATCTATGTTTTATTCCTCAAAAAATTGTGGGAGGTGGACTGAAGGCTGGGGGTTCTTTTAGCTTATAGAGTGTTATTGATTGAAAGATTAAATTGATAAACATTTTGTAGTTCAGAGAACATTTTTCAGCAGGGCAAGTGTTTTCATGAATACTTAGCTGAAAGCAAGACATATTTGAGAAAATGAACGTAAATGTATAGTCATTCAAATGAATAATAGTTTTGGAGATTTTATTTACAGGTTGTTTATATAGATCAGAATATGTAGAAATGTGCTCCTTGAATCATGTTTGTCTCTGTAGTTTGCGAATGCTCTGTAGGCAGCTTGGTAAGGATGTTGTCATATATTGTTAAAATGACATGTGATAAAAATGCACTACCCCAATTTATGGTCATATATGCATTAAGAATTAAAAAATATGTATGCCTCCTCCAAACATTGCATGTTTTACAAAATTCAGTGTTTAATTTTTAGAATAATGTTTTCATCATTTATTTAAAAGTTATGTTTGGAAATAATAACAGTACTCTTCTAGCACATCCCGAATGTCATTTGCCTTCTGCAGGTGCCTGTGCACCTCACCTCCTTGGTGCTGGTGGAGGGGAGCTCTGCTCCTCTCTTTCTGTAACTTTCCAAGAAATGGTAATTGTCATTTCACGTGGCAACCTTGTGGTGGCTAATGATTACTCTCCAATCTCACTTTCTACCAGTCTCCTCCTAAAGTACTCCTTTACAGCCACAGTGGCTCCTTGTATTTTGTTCTCTGATGACTTTGAATTTATTCTTTCTGGAATTATCTGCTCTTCTTTAGCTTCTCAGCTCACACAGGTATCATCTTCTCAGAGGCCTTTCCTGAGCCTTTGCCATTTGCCTTCTGCTGCAAAATTTTGTTCACTATTTCAAGTACTAATTGTTTGCTGGAAATTTGTGTCCCTGAAGATGAGCTGTTCTTAACCTTGCAGCAAACCTTTGGGGTTTGCATCATGTCTTGTTTTCCCACTTGGATACCTCTTATCGACCTAGGATCCAAGCTAGATTATATGTATGAGTTTTTAGGTGTTGTGCTTCAAGTAGTAATAATTTCACTCAGAGATACCATTCACTCATGGTGCTTAATGATGCAAGCCTCAGTGACAACAGACTCAGAGTGAATTTTGTCCAACGTGACTTAGTTGAGCAGCTTGCTTGAATGCTCATAGTTGCAAACCATCTGTGATATAACTATGATTAGTAAGTAGAAGAATCATGATTGGTGCTATCACAGGGAAGCATGAGTTAGGCAGGCTGTACTTACCTCAGAGTCTTCCTGTGAGGGTTAAATGAGAGTAGATCCCTCGAAGATTTGACACCCTGCCTGGGCCATGCTTCTCCCTGATAGCAGTGGCCATTATTTTTATAATTATTGGTTTTAACTATCAGTGAATAGGGAGTTGAATATGTCCCCAGTATAACCATTAAATAATTTTATCACAGTGTGAAATCAGATAATCTTATCAGTAAGATGTTTTCAGTTTAAAAAAATTTTCCAATTTGTCCAAAACTGTAAATATTCAAGTTTAAAGTGAATTATGGATGCACAGCACCAACTAATGGAATTTTAATGTGAAAGTTATCTGACCTGGAACTGAAATTTCAACTCTAGAAAATCTGCAGCTTTATGATGATGTCAAGGGCTCCTCTCGTGGATGTAGTGCTGACTTATACAGCAAAATGAGGGCTAGACTTTGATTATACTTTCATACTGTGGTCAGTTACTTATTTCTTGTCTGTTAGTTTGCCTTAGCAGAGTTTTTATGATTCAGTGGGATTCACATAGCTTAAGTTCAGCTAGAGACTTCATACAGGGATTTGGATAGCCTCTGTTATGAAGCCAGGAATGTTGTCTACAAAACACATTTCTGATAACCTGGTGGACTCAGTCCTGTGATTCTATGTTTCATAACTATTACCTTTCTTTAACTACATATGGCATATTGCCATGTGTGCATGGTTATGTGGATAACACATAAGAAATCAGTCATTTTCTGTAACAGTTCAGTCTAATTACACAGAAAAGTGACTAAAATCATAATAAAGCATTCCATATTAACATGATGCAGAAAAACATCAGTATCTTAGTGATAAATTTAAATTGTATGTATTCAATAGGAATTAAAGATGAATCAACATTAAAGATTAGCCTTTCAAAGTAAGCAACAAGATTAATCTCAATTAAAAAAGACTTTCGCATAATTACCCATGCTAATTTTTGTCCCTCTGTGTGTGTGTGTGTGTGCGCGTGTGTGTGTGTGTATGTCTGCATGTGCATGTTTCTGCTAAAAGATTAAAACTGGAAGTGGGTTTTTCTGTGGAAAGGATTGGAACGTTTGACAATAATTATCTTAATACCAGAATGAAAAATGAATGAGAAATTTAAGGGAAATTTTTTTTTTGGTACCGGGGATCGAACTCGGGTCCTTGTGCTTGCAAGGCAGGCAGGAGAACCACTGAGCTAAATACCCGGCCCCGAGAAGTTTAATTATCACACAATTAATCATTTCTGACTGTGACTTTTGATTTTTGAATGTAACCATTAAGCAGCCAGAGGCCAGTGGGGAATTGATAATGTAAGACTGCAAACAAAGTGAATAGTCAATGATTTTTGAATAAATAAGTACAGTTCTTGTGAATAATGGAAGACAAGAATGTGGCTCTATCTGAACTCCTCTGAATCCCCAGGTTTTGTGTTTGGCTCTGTAGGGAATAGGCATAATAATAGTTTGTGAAAAAACCCCACTAATTTTACTAAAGTTATATTATTATATTTTATTATAATAAAAGGAAAATTCAGAACATTTTGAGCAGATTTTGTACAAATAATGTTGGGTACAAATATTGGACTTTATCTGGGTATTTATTACATAATTGTGATAACACTTTTATTAAAAAAGAACCAATTAATGTCATTCATACCATGTTATGTAGCAGAGCATATTTATATGTATTGTTCGGTTTGGAGAGTTAAGAGAGCTATAAAAAGTAACATATGGCATACATTTACAGAAAGCTAATGATGTGAAATAAATAAAAGTCTCTTTTGTAATGGAGAGAAACTAAACAAAAAATAACGATCATATATCATTTCAAATTGTTTCAGAGGGAAATTACTGATGTAAAAACTCCTGAAAACTATTTGCCTCTTCTGGAATGTGCAATAACAATAACATACATGCATCAGCAGCATCAGGTCTTACCCCTCAGGAGCTGTATGATAAAGATAATAACATGTTTTCAGTAGATGCTTCTACAAGATTGACTTGTATTGCTATTTTTACCAAGTTTCCTTAAAAAAAACCCTTCTCAGTTTCGGAAACAAGCGTCCTCCTTCTGCCTGGCATTACTATGATGTAGTAATCAGTAGAATTTAAGGAACAACCTAATTAATAGATTCTTTTATTCATACAGTAAGAGAAATGTAACCACAGACATTCAGATGAAAAGGAAAAGAGTGTGATGGTTAATCTTGGTTGTCTACTTGACTCGATAGAGAGATGCCTAGCAAACTGATAAAGCACATTTCTGGTGTATCTGTGAGGTGTTTTCATAGCGTGTTGGCATGTGGGTCAGCCACTCACTCTGAAGATGAGTATCATAGTGCAATAGACTGCATGCTCCAAGGGAGCAGACAGCTGGGAGATAAAGACATTGCAAGTTCAATTCTTCTAGAAGGGGTGTATTTCTGTGCTGCTGCCATAGGCTGTTGAACCTCAGCTGTCTTTGGCCTTTGAATGTGATCTTGCACCAGAAGCAATTTGGGGGCTTCCAGGCCTTCAGCCTTGGACTGGGACTGCATGATTTGTCCCTCAGCTTCTGAAGCTTCTAGCTGCTTGAACTGAGCAGCTTTTCCAGCTTTCAGATGGTCTTCATGTGATATCCAGCCTCCAATGATGTAAAGCAATATAATATTTATAATTATGTGTGTGTTCTATCAGTTCTGTTCCTCCAGAGAACCATGGCTAATACGAAGAGGTTCTAGATAAAGATGAAACAATGAACAATAAATCATAAAGTATCAAATTATATTTTATACTGAAAACCAGTCTTTGAGGTAGGAGGGAAATTTGATAGATACGAAACGGTAACAAAAGTGATTAGGAAAATAATAGGTGAGGACTTTGAGATATGGAAAAGTGCTACATTTACATGTAAACGTAGTTGATTCAACTATTTCATTTATAGAACCTTGAATGTCGAGTGTAGAAAAGTGTCTACTAAATTTAAATTTTATTGACAGTAGGAGGAGAAAAACTAGCATCTGTTTTAAGGATGACTTTCAAGTACATTGTCATCTTCCATTTCTTGTTTGGGAAGAGTAGGTACATACACTATTTACTTTGAAAAAAGTCAATTCTTTCTCTCTGTCAAGTGTTCTATAGTTCTGCCTTCCTCAACTTCTTATTTCTTATTCTATATCTTATAATCCTATTCTACTTCCTCAATTATTTCCTTTTCATATAATATGTTTTACTTTTTAGTTTATTACTTACTGCCTTTTTCTTTTCTAGGGGTTAAGTTCCAAGACCAAGGATCATTTTCTGTTTTGGTAATCAGCAGATCTCGATGTTTTCAACGTTGCTGACTTTTCCTAAATACTTCATAAATATCTGTGAACTATCTGAGCTGCAATAATGCCTGTATTGATGTCCACTTGTTAAAACCTATGAGCTGAACCTCTCTTGCTGCATAAGTACCTATATGAAGGTAATTAAATGCATTCAACCATTTTTTTGCAGGTGCATTACTAACCCTAACCTAAAGCCTTCTTGTCCCGTCTTTTTCTCCCTTCCTCCCACCCGTCCCCATGGAAGCAACTCTGATTATTTTTCTTCCCAGAATTCCTCCTAAAAAGACCTTTTTTGTTCCGTTATCCTCTATGCAGACCCTTTTGCCCTCATCTTTGTCCTAAACACTATCTTAGTAGGAAGTCAAAACTTTAAAAGAGAACTCCCTTGACTCCTGCTTCTTCTTAAAAATGTCCATTTATGATTTGAGAAGTCCAGTAATTTTTTAAATTTCTGGAGTATTGGTAATGCTGTAAGAGTATTGTTATAGGTTGGTTTAATTTTTGTGTTGCTTAGTCCGAACACAAGAATATTTGCTTCTTTCACACAAAAAGTCATCACCAACTCTGTTATTTTCCAACACTAGATGTCTCCCTGGTGCCAGGCACACTTCACTCACTTCCCAGACGAGCTTATTCAGTTGTGCTGGATTCCACAGCACGGGGAGACCCATTTACCAGTGCTAGCTGTGAGCAGACAGAGGCTTTTTCAATGATGTGTCTGCTCTTGGACTCCATGTATTAGTGTGGCTACATTTTAGTATAGCCCTTTTATACCTACAGATTTGACTGATAATCCTACTTCATATCTGTACAGTAGTTGAGAATTTATAGAGCCATCTCACATACAGTATTTCATTTTGTCCTTGCAGCAATCTTGTAATCCACGTGCTACAGTATTGTCATTTTGGTTTGTACAGTTGGAGAAACCGAGGCCCAGAAATATTACAGAAATTTTATGTTGACACAGCAACTAGTGATTGATCCTACTTTCACTCACCAATTTTCTGATCTTAAATTCATTGCTCTTTGCTCTGTATAGAGGCACTTCTGCCTATATGAACTCTATTCGTGCCTGCTTGTTACATATATTTTGATGTATTGTGGGTCAGATACACCCCTTCATGTGAATAATGCAGCCTGGTCAGCCTTGAGACAGATGCTTGCTCTCTCCCTTCTTAGTACTATAAATGTTATAGATCTAGTCCATTGTAGTTAAACTCGTTTATTTTAATACTTTCATAAAACGCTCCTGCAAGATCAAGCATCTTTTAGCCAATGCTTCTTAGTTGGTTTATGTGCTCAAAGAGTAAGTAGAAGTGAGACTGCTCCTCCCTTTAGTGTGAACCTTGGGTAACCCTGGCTTGTGATTAGCTTTGAAGAGGGATACGTGTGAGCCTACATTCATCCATGTACTTTACTTGCTGCCAGGAGAAACATTTAATTTCCTGGTGGGAGAAAATTATCTTTAAAGGAAGAGTCCCATTCTTTCTATTGTTACTCTGAGGTTCCCTGAATGGTTTCAATTTCAAAACGGTACAAATAAGAACTCTCTTAGATTATGGTTAAATAAATATATATAGGAAATGTTCCCTCTTGCTAGTTTGTGTATTTTACATGATAATAAATCAGTCTTGTTTTGATATGTTGGTAACACCCATGGACATTTTTGCAATTATGTCCTAATAAAGTTATTGTTATCTTTCTTTTCTTAAAAAGCATAACAAAATGTAGGAAAATTCAACATTAATTGTAACATTTGTTTAGCATTTTAATATACGTTAGGATTACATACTTAAACTTACTTAGAGGTCAGTTAGAAAACTAATATAACTAATTTTGGAATCATGTGCAAAGAATAAAGAAAAATTTGTTGCTAAGTGGAGTTTAAAGTCCTGAATATTTAGTAAACTCTCCAATCATTCTGGTTTAAATATAAGGCTAAATCTTTCTTAATGATTAAAAGATGATAAATTTTATCATTTTATTATAAAGAAGACACTTAAATGCAAGCTTTACATTTTCATGAAGCAGTGTAATTGCTATTTATGTTTTAGTTTTGCATATGATTGTTTTTTCTGATGACTAAAAATTTAATGATACATTACTTCTATAGCATTCTTGGACATTTACATTAAAAAAATTTTTTTTCCTCTTTAGGGGGATCTAGAATCATATAGCCTCTTTTCCCTTTTCTTATCACCTAATGGATTTACCTCTTCATTTCCCAGGTGATAGGTAGCTTGCTCCTTAGTCATGAGCATTGTTTTTGGAGACAGACACGTGTATTTCATTTCCTGCATTGCTATATGATGATCAGGAAACTACTTAACCGTGTTTTGCTTTCTCACCTACTAAATTTTGATGAAAATGTTCACAGTTGCAAGATTCCCCAGAGGATGAGATGCAGTAATGCATGGAATATGCGCAGCTAGTGGCCTGGAAGCTAGTGAGTTGTCAATGAATGTGTCCATTGCCATTAATGTCTCTTTTCTAGAAAAACATGGCTACTCCTGTTTGTTTTCTTCTCCCCACATTGAATTATTACCTTTTCATCCATTAATAAAAAACATTTAAATGGCTCTTTAGGAAGTAGAATAAAATAAAATAAATGTATTACTAATATAGGAACACATAATAATTAAAAATTTTTTAGTTACTCTTGGAAGGCTTAATTCTTCGATACCTAAGACACAGTTCATTTAAAAAAATGATATCCATACATCATAAGTGGAAGATAATTTAATCAACTTTACTCTAAGCAGAGGTACACTGGGCCTTAGGTGTCTGTTATCAGTCATTTAGGGAAAGAAATATTCTTTAGAAGAGGAGGAATCTGCTGGAAAGTGATTGTCAGTAAAACATGACAATATGCTGATCTTTAAGCTAATCTTCAGAATAACTAGCTGAATAGGAAAAGATGGATAGGCAAAAAGAAGGAAAGGAAATAGTTACATAATCAGGAGACAGCAGGCTTAAATGAGGACAAGAAATATGAAAAGTGTACATAAAGATGATAATAAAAATGGTTATTGTGCTAATATTTTTAGTGGCAGCAAATTCAATAACAAAGCTCATCCCTTCTTACTCCAGTGGATTGTTGTGCAGCATACATAGAGAAGAACATTCTTGATTCCTCTCTCGGTTGTCTTTTGTGTCCCCAGATAACCCACATAAAGCAATGAGCTCCTATTCAAGCATGAGGTAGCTATGCTGTTAATACCTATTGTCTATATTTTTAGAAATATATGATGTTAATAGATAAATTACATACGATTAATTGAATACTTTATTTTCACCATAATATTTGTGTTTGATGTACATATATTTAAAACAATGTTTTTAAAAAAAATAACACAGTTACCTAGAAGTAAAGAATGTGAGGTTTAGTCTAAAGGAGAGAAAAATCAGTTTGAGCTTTTAACAATTTTATTTAAGAACTTTTTTGGGAGTGTAGTATTATGAGCTCAAATTAAATATTAAGAAAGGAATTTTGATAATTAAGAGATAACTGTATTTTAGAAATAGGATTTATCTATTTTATTAAAAATGTCTTATCAGTGACTCTTATAAGGATTATATAATCCATCTTCTGAAATTATTTCCAAATCTGTGTTATAAAAAAGCTGTTTTCATAATTTGGAAATCTTCTATTTAAAAATATTACCCTTTCTTTACTTTTTCTACCTTGTCTCCCCCACACTGAAAATTAAAAAAAAAACCCTGAAACAAGTTACTAACAAATTTTGAAATTCAAAAATGTTGTTTCCCATTCTAGAATTTGCTTTATGAAGATTGCTACAGCTTAAAATTTGAAAACATTTCAGTGACACACTAATGAAAAACAAATATATGTGTATGAGTTTACTTACCTGTTTTACCATATATAAAGGAGGATATTTAAGAATAACTTATAAAAAGTCCAACTTCAATACTTGTCAGTTCGATTTAACATTACATAGAAATATGGAAAAACATAAACATTTTTTTCAATATACTTAACTCAAAGGGAGAAACTACTCAAGTAGTAGAAATAAGGGGAAACTTTGAAGCCATGAGAAGTTGTTGTCATAGCATTGTGTGTAGTATGGAGGTTGAAATAATGTTCAGGCTTTAAAGCGAGGTTTGGGATTTCAATATCTGTATGAAGGTAGGGCTTCAAAGACAAACTGTTGAGGCCTACTCTTATCTGTAAAATTAGGCCTTGCTAAACTTTGCCACCAACCTAAGAAGTAGTAAGGCACACCAATACTTCAAAGTTATCTTAGAGAAACTGAAGAACTAATCCATGGCTAGTCTTTGACACTGACTCCATTCATGATATGCAACCCTAAATTAAGAAATTAACTAGGACATTGCCAGTAGAAGCAAAAATGGAAATTTGTAATTATATACCTTCTAAAATTTATTTCAATTTTATTGATTTATCAAGAATAACGACTCAATGGATTATTAAATTTTTATTTTCAATAATGTTCCTGGTAGAACTATGGAGACACCCCCTCCTATCTGTTCCTCTCTGGCTGGGACTGACAGTGCTCTTTTGCAACCTTACAAAAGGATACTGCTTTTCTGAACATTAACTCTGCAGAGAGTCCAGCGAGTGCCTTCCCTTGTATTGTCTCTGGTTGGAAATTTGGCTTTGACTTTGACCCTTTCCTTTAGCTCTTCCCATAGTTAGTGTCCCACAGTTGTATGTGACATACTGATAAGACAGTTATGGGTTTTAGAGATTTAAGAAAAACTTGCTCTCTCTGAAGACAAACGGTGGAAGCTGGATCACTGACATTCCTTCTCTTAGCGTGACTCTTCCTCTCTGTTTCTACAGTAAGAGGTTGGCTGAATTCAACAGAGACATGCTCACACCTGACTCAAAGAGAAATAGTGGTTTGGAGAAAACCAATTTGTTTTACTGATTGATTCTCTTTTTCCTTTTCTGCCTTCAGGCAAGAAGAATATCAAATTTCTTTTATGTGGACGTTGTGTGAAGAGAAATCAAACATTTCTTTAGGAATTGTGTATCTTACAAAAATCTGTCTTCCATTTTCCTAACTCTCCTTTTACATTGAATTAGGAAGGTGGTAGCATTGGTTTTGCAGAATGGTCTTTCAGCAATGTTTCTGGTGGTCGGTGACATGAATAGGTGGAAAACCAGTGCTTAAT